TCAATCTAATTAATAAAAAAAAAGGGCATTAAAGAATAAAAAAAGAGAAAAAGCAGAAGAAGGAACAGATACATGCAGCATCATCAGGACACATGAAACACACGTACACACACGCATACACTCTCGGCCAGACAGCAGTAAAAGCAAAGAGACAGCAAACATGAAATGCAAAAACAGCAAAGAAATGCAGAAACAGCAAAGAAACACAGGCACAGAGGCGCAGAAACAAAAATAAGCATACACTTTCGGCCATGCAGCAGGAAAAAGGACAGAAATAGCAGAACGCACGAACACATGAGCTGCAGACGCTGAAAGAACCAGAGGCAACAGACACGAAACGCAGGAGAAGCAAAACAGAGCAGAAAGAATAGTAAACAACTGAAACACGTACGCATATACTTTCGGCTGGCAAGAGAAAAGAAACAGAACTAAGGACGCACGCATGCATGAAGGAAATGGCACAACAGAGAAAGCAGACGGGACAGCACAGAAAATAGATACAGAAATGCAGAAAAACAGAGCAGACTTCAGCGCACACAGAAAACGCAGCAGAAAGGAAAAGCGGAGCAGGAAAGCAATGATTCACCTCTTCCATCCCCTATATAAGACTGAATGAAAAACAGAGGGAGGGACGGTTTTTTGGACTGAAAGAAAGGAAGAGAGAAACAGACAGACAGAAGAAACAGAAAATAGAGCATAAAAAAATGAAGGAGAAGAGAAGAGAAGAGTGACCGAGAAGGAGGGGGGAAGCAACGTAAAAAATATACAGAGGAGAGAGAGGACCGGAAGACGTGAAACAGAGGCTGAGACGGAGGAGAGGGCGAAAACAAAGACAGGAGAGGACGTGGCGGAGGAGCTTTTCTTTCCGGAAAAGCTGAGAAGGAAACGAGGGAGGCCAGAAGCTGAAAGAAAAAGGATAGAGACGGAGAGAGGTGAAACAGAGGCTGAGGGAGAAAGGCTATTCCGGCTGGAACAAAGTAGAGGAAACGAAGAGAAGTGCGTTTTTTGGCTGGAGAAAGGAAGGAGAAATGTACGTATGGAAGAAACAGAAAATAGAGCACGAAAGGAAAAGAAGAGAAGAGGCGGAGAGGAGAAAGAAGAAATAGAAACGGAGAGGAGAAAGAAGAGGCTGAGACACATCTGGACGTCCCATACGCGCAGGTTCTTGCTTCTGAATCCAAAATATACGTGTTTAATTTCTAATTACTATTCCAAAATGGATTTCATGTTTAAATGTTTTGTCTCATATTTTTCAGCTCCCAAGTGATTTCATTGCAATTGTCATATTTTTTTTAAGAAAAGAGAGTTTAAAAAGAAATAATAGAGAAATTGCAAATGATAATTTTTGTTTCCTATCATAGCTAAGCTAAATTTGATTATTAGGCACAATTTCATTTCAAATACAGAATTAGTGTAATTATTAAGCGAGGTCTTTAAATGTGTATATTAACATGTATGAGCATTATTTTTTTATCTCCATTAACTCTAAGGTCCTTTACTTGTCAATAATATTGTTACACTCATACCGTATGACACTTTCTATCCACATGTACAATTGTATAAAAGATTAAGAGGAGAGAATTCAATTCTCATCTTAAAAAAACAAATGAATAAGAGAAGGTTTCTTGTATTTTATTAACTTGCCGTGTGAGATTTTAAGAATTTTCGCAGGCATTTAAAGTGATCTTATACCGTGTAAATCAATAAGATTTCGCAGGTATAGAGATCCAATTTATATGTACAATCAATGGTTTCAATGACCAACCATTAAAACCAACTGTCTTTTTATAATCTAAATAATCCATTTAAGTTCCGTGTAAGATTACGAGAATCTTTGTAGGGACTTAAATTAATCATATTATCGTGTGGGATAATAAATCCTCGCAGATATAGTGATCATCCATTTTTATAATAAATAAATAATTTTTGTAAATAATCATACAATATACAATTTAAGAAACTTAATTAACCAAATTAATATTTAAATTGTAACCATATTTACCAATTATATCTTTTAGTCATGTGAGATTTTTGAATCTCCGTAGGCTTCTAAGATCATCGTATTATCGTGTGAGTCAATAAGACTCTGCAGATATAACGATTTAGTTTTTAAAATATATATACATATATATTATATAATTAATTAAATCAATTAATTAAATTTAATTCCTGTATCGTGTGAGATTTTAGAATCTCCGTAGATATTTAGGATAATCATATTACTGTATAAGTCAATAAGGCTTTGCAGGTATGATGATTAAAATTCTTCAAAACATGTATATACATACTTAAAATATATTTTTAATACTTAAAATGTACATAAGAATATAAATAAATAAATTAAATTGCCAAACTCTTCTATCATGTGAGATTTCAGAATCTTCGCAGATACTTAGAGCAATTGCATTACCGTATGAATCAATAAGGTTCTACAGGTACTGCAATTAAATTTCTAATCATAAAATATAAAGAAAAATAATTTTAAACCCTTTCCTTTCTTTATTCCAAAAATTCAAAAATGGAGAAAATAATTAAAATTAAATTACCTTTTGCAATTTAAAACACACATATCAAAATTTCAGAAATTGTTTTATTTGCAAAATGGTGAATTATTTATAATTAATTTCTCTTCAAAAAAATATTTTTATACCAACAACTTTTAAGCCCGAACTACGTGGACTTTGATCCCCATCACAGGGTACGTAGGCCTCAGAGTCAGATTCTGAGTCAAGTCCGTCCTCCCTCGTAAATAAATAAACATTTCTCACTCAATTATCATCATTTTTATATCAGACACATAAATATAAAAGGGATAATTAAAATAATTTTAAAACCATATTAATAGAGCACAACAAACTTCAGGTAACCGTTCTCACGAACGGGTGTTGTGGGGTGCCTAACACCTTCTCCACACTCAACCGACTCCCGAACCTATTCTCTGATTTCACAGATCACCCTTATCCTCCTTTTAATCGGTTTCCCGAGATTTACCTCAAAATCTTGGTGGTGACTCCTCGTTTGATCCGGTTCCCGTCGCGAAGGCCGGGACCTCCGCTCGCGCGCCGTCCGCGTCGCATTTTTCCGGGTGCGACACATGGAATCTTATTAGAGGTCACAGTTGATTTATTATACTACATTGGATGAAAAGCATAAGAACCCAATTGTAAAATAGAATGTATGATTTTTGTTTTAATAGTTTTTTCTCACTCAACTTGCACAAATTGAAAAAATTGCGGCCTTCCAAATTTCTATTTTATGTTGCTTCTTTCATTTTAAATTTAAAATTCTTCATTAAAATCTAAATACAAAAACCACCTAATAATATTCAATTACCGAAAATTGAAAATTAAAAAACAATATTCCTACTATAATTTTGATACATTTGTCTTTATTTATATTATTACCCATCTTCTTTCTCGGATAATCATTATAACTAACTCATTAAGGCTAGTTATTTCATATTTCATTCACACATTCTTCCATTACTCCATTAATGAACATTTATGATCAAGTGTGTAAAATATGTAAAATATCAATTTCAATGTTTTACAATAAAAATTAAATCCAAGTCACTTCAAATAATGGAAAGATTAAATTTTGAATATTTAAATTCTTAATTATCTCATTAAAACTTGCAAAACCATTTTCCTAGTACCAGTTTCAATGTTTGACAATAAAAATTAAATCTCAGTTACTTCAAATATTGAAAAAGATTAAATTCTGAATATTTAAATTTTTGATTCTCTTATTGGAATCTACAAAACTATTTTCCTAATATTCTACTATTGAATTGGTATGTGTTTTTATTTCAATTTCTCCAATCACTCCTATTACTAGAATTGATTTTTCAACCAAAAGTTTCTCATTGTAATGCTTTTTTAAAAACTAAATCGATTCAACATTAATTTCCTCAAAAGTTGTGTGTTTACATGTGGTTGATAAAGAAGCTTTTAACGGACCTTAGTTTCTGTCAAGTAATTCATTTTACAAACATCAATATAAAAAAATTTTCTCTAACTTACTCTTCAAATGAAAGGCAACAATAAACAAAAAAGAATAGGGTTAAAGAAAAAAATTACAACTGTTATACTTTGGCTTTCCAACTTCTTATCTTCATAGAGATATACTTAATTTTTTTGACAAAATTTTTATTCATATATGGAATGTTATTTTATAATTGATTTCACCTCATAAGCAAGACCACCAACCTATAGTATGTTGCCGTCACAAATAGAATCTCGTATTTTTCCTAAAGAATCTCCTAGTTGTTTCAAAGCAATTAGAAAGAGATTTTTTAATCAGAAACAATTCAGTTCAGATGTAGGATACCTATCTAGAAGTTTTTGCAATCCAATCATGTGATGAAATTACCAAAGATTTCTGTAACTCACTATGGACTTGAAAAATAAAGAGAAAATATGTACAAATGAAATATTAAAAAAAATAATTAAATAAAAAAATTTTTAAAAATTTAATAATCTTAGATGTGTTGATATTAATAATATTCATGGCAATTGTTTTCAATTTTTTAAATCCAACCTGCACAACATACGGAAAACTGTCCAGTTGCCATATAGGGTACTAATATAGAAAATAAGCAATCAGACTGTTCAGTTTAGACTTGCTTTCGGCCTTCGAATCAGGTTTTCACGTCCGTAAGAAACAATGTTTTTTCTTTTTTTTTTTTTAACTTTTAGTTAAACTTTGTCCGATATTGACTTCTGAAGGCATAAATATATGTGTCTTTGACTCTGTGGCCTATATAAAAAATTTAAAAGAAAAACTTATAGTTTGATCTCCAAAGTTCCTAAAATTTTAATTAAAAGATATAGTCATGAGAGAAATTATTGATCCTGAAAAGAAAATAGATACGACAATTAAATTCGTTCTCTAACTCTAATGTGTTCATTTATATCTCATTAATAAAAGCCAAGTCCCTTGATCTTCAAGAAAATACAGTTAGATATCTCTGATACTCTTTGCTGTGTAATGCTTTAGGGAAGTATTTTGAATCAATCATACTGATTGAATTTAATGTTCTACTCTAGTTATCATATCCGCACCCAAATCCCAAACCCTTCAATTTTTGGCTAAGACATTAAATACAACATAACCCTCCAAAATATGGCCAAAAACTTCAAACTTCAATACAAAATAGAATTGCTTTGTCGGGAAAACAGTAACTTAAACAGTAAAAAGTATATTGATAACCCTCTTGTTCTGCAAACGCCAGGCTGAGAGATCCTGCACAGTCATCATCATACCATGGTCTTGTGCTCAGGTCTGTGAGTGAATTCGAAATCGATGTGCACAAAAGCCCTCTCAACTTCCGGAAGCTGCTCAAGCTTCACCTGAAGTGTCTCCCCAATATTATGGGCTTCATTCAGAAGCATGTCTTCTGGCAAGACGATGTCAACTTCCACAAAGTAATGAGCACCAAAGGTGTATGCTCTAACTGTATCTATGTGCTGAATTCGTTCGTGGTGATTCCATATCAGATACGTCAACTTCGTCAGATAATCCGGTGGCGCTGTTCTTCCGATCAGCGACCACACATTCTCAATCACTGTCCTCGCCCATGTGTTAATTGTATATAATGCTATCTGCCATTAGATTTTCAATGAATTGCATTACTACATCAATCAAAAATTGCCTTGCAGTTCAAGAAACCCTCAATCATGCAAAACAGCAACCTAAGAAACAGGCATTCAAGGCAACACCAAATATGGCTCTCATTTCATTTTAATGTATTGGGGCTTCATAGACAACAAGATATAAGACAAACATGAATACAACTTAAGGTTCAATCTGAAGTGATAATGTTTGAAGCAATTGTTAAACATGCATCAGGTATGATATGGCTCCTATTTTCAGGATTTGGTGCTTCATAGATAACAACCTTCCTTCAAGACTTCATAGCGAAGATCGAACACCATACATGGCCATTGCGAAATTATGAGCAGATCAATATGTGTAATATGTGTAACAGATAAGAGAAACCAGTCTTTGCCCTTTGAAATGAAATGAAAACAAGCGCTAGCAATTTATAAACTCACAATGATAGCTCCTGCTGGATCAATCCACCAGAGGAACTTGACAGCAAGGACAGCAGCAGCTAAGCCGACAGAATTGGTGACAACATCAAAGAAATGATCTTGTGCATAAGCTCTGACTATTTCGTTTTTGAATCTTCGACAGTAGACCATAAGAATGAACTTCACTAAGGTCACAGTGGCCATAATCCCAATCATCCAATGCAACTCTCTGGTATTCATGTCTGACTTGGTCTGCAAGAAGAGAATCATTAAAGAAATTAAAATAGGAGTACTGATAATGTTTACAGGAAATCAATAACAGAAACCTCTGTGCTGCAATGCTTTTGAGGAGCATAAACATGCAAGATTTTACCCAACTGCTTGGGATTATGAGCCGAGATTTTATAAAGCTATGAATCTAAAGGGCATAACAAGCATAAATGCTCTAGCCATAAAATGGTTTCCTCTAATTTAAAGTGACGCAAAAGTTGAATTCAAATACCCCTGCAATAAGTCTCCGAGCAGACTCAAGCAAAATCTGCAGTCCCAGGGTTGCCATCACAGATGCAAAAACAATGATACCCTGCAGAAGAAAACGTGATTAGTATGAATCTGCCATAGGCATTAAGACTCTTAACCATCCAATGGTTACCTAATCTATATCTAAATATAACTAAAAGTAACACATCATTTTCATCCTCCCTCTAATGGCGTTGTGAAACTACTCTACTCCTGGTTACATGTATTAATATACTAAGTAACTCTTTCCTGGATTCAATCAGCTTACAGACTCACGTCTTACCAGTGGTTGCATCCGTTTCTTGCCAATTGGGTAATGATATTGGTTTGGGTTTTTCATGGCATGTGAAGTGAACCACAATATCAACCCAGATAAGAGATCCAAGAGGGAGTCTAGTGTTGAGGCAATGACTGCTAATGATTGGCTCATAACTGAAGCATAAACCTTTGCTGCAAATAACACGAAATTAGCTAAATTTGACACATGAACTGCCACCCTCTCCCTCTTTGCTAGTTGCTTCATTTCATCCTGAAAAACAAAGTGCGGGGCAACAGCAGCTTTAGCTATTAAAATCTGAAGATTATGAAGTTTGGTAAGTATAATTCTTTCCACTGAGAGTCTGACTATATTCAATGCATAGTTTGCTGTTTCTATGTTCTTTTCATTCATGTTATTTATAGACCATATGTGCCAAATTACAAGTCAGGCTGGGTTAAAGGACAATCAACCTCAGTGAGACTTCCGGGAAAGAAGCCCGTTTCAGTCATAGTATCCATCTCACTGAATCCTTCAAGGAGCCTTTTTTGTTTCTTGTAATATTCTGCCACCTTGCGTTGCTTTCCTAAAATTAAAAAAATGTTGGAACAATAATATATGAATTTTAAGCATAGGAGCTGTAGAGAGTATGAAGACGACAGTCACAAGGCAAATAAGAATAGCACATATATATCCAAGTGTGTGCCAATACATGATAACCAGAGACTTGTTACCCCACATATTCTGTAGGGCAGACGCAGAAAATACAGCAAACAATTCGTGCACGTACTTCTGAAATTAAATTTAGTTAAAAAAGTGGATAGATCTCTTCCAAAATTTAGAAATATGGTATTCTCTTCCTAGGTAAGATATCTATGAACAGTTAGCTTCAGATGAAATTCGGTCTCTCTTACGCATGCAACATATTCTTTTCCTAGCATGGAATCACTTTAGTTTATGAACTCGATTTCTTCAAAAGAATCAAAACTATAACCAACACGAATCTCAGATTCATAGATAAATACGCCAGCCAAGATACCCACCATTACCATAATAAGCAACAATCAAGTATCTCACAGAACAGAGACTTCTATTATATTCGAAAAGTAACGGATCCATTCCAGCCCAATGACAATCAAAAGAAGGCAACAAAAAAAATATATTACTGGGTCTGCGAAGAAGGCCTTTAAAACCAAAAGAACGGTGATTAGGATGGTCACCACCGCTCTGGCTTGGCAAATGAAACTCCTTAACATTGAGTCTCCATGACAATGGAGAAGAAGGCTTCGCCGACTTGACGTCCTGCGACGGAAGAAGCGGTTCTCTTCTGCCGGCTTCAGTGGCGGCGCCGTCGTGTCTACTGCCACACTGGTCCATCTCTGCGGTTTCCGTATTTGTCTGAGCACTGCGCTTCTCTCGGTCTTGGGGATGGCCGGATAAAGCACTTTTCGCACAGGTGGTTACAACAAGGACGAAGTATGGTGGAAGTACGAAGGACAAATTACTTATATTAAGAATTGAAAATAACAATTAAAAATTATCAAAAATGAATGTCAGTGTTAAAGAAAACTGAAAGTGGCTGAAATTAGTGTAATCTATGAAGTATTTTGAAGTTTCTTAAAAGTTGATATTATTTTAGTGGTGAGGAAAGCTTTGGTTATATTTTTAATAATTAAAATTGAAATCATTATAGTTTTTAAATTGAATATTTCAATCTCCGGGTCCTTTGATGTAATATCACCCATGATAAAACAGCAGTTTTAAATTACAGTTGCAAGGAAGTGTCTCTTCGTAGTTTCTTTCAATTTCATTTTTCATATTTAAAGAATTATTTTTATTTTTACATGGTCATCATCGGTAATTATAAAGAATTACTAATTACTAATTTTGAGCTATTATATATGGGTTTTGCCTTCAAAACATCCAGCAAGGAAGTTTCTCTCTCATGTTCTCACTATTACTTTATTAACCAATTATCCTCTTCTCATTATTATTTTTTAAAAATTTTAATTCTTCAAACTTGTGAGGTGCACGTTATTTTTCAGAAAGTGAAAGAACATGAGCTCTATAAATTGAAGTACTTTTAAAAGAAGTCCGCAAATTTACTATATTTTGAATAAAAATATTTGTACCTCCTTAGATCATTATTTATAAGCCAAGTATCTAAAGGAATGGAATTTGAGTACTTGAAGTAAGATGAGAATAAAGTAAAAGAGGATTTTTTCAAAAAAAAAAGAAAACAAAAGAAAAGAAAAGGTAAAAATACAAGATTTAAATTCAATAATTGTAATTAATACAAGTATTGATTGCTTATATCATCTAAGTTATTAAAATTTAAATCAATGATTTAGATAAATTAACTCATTTATTAATTTCAAGTGAAGTATAAAGTGATAATCATTTATACAAATTTTAATGATTCAAATAATACAAGCATTTAATATTAATATCTATATTAAGTAGAATTAGTTGCATTTATTCCCCCCCCCTTTTAAACTTCCTTTATTCGACTCTCCTTTGTTTTAGGAGATTTTGGAGGTATAAGTCACGCGTAGAACCATTAAATTTAATTTGATAGAACATATAACTTTAATTTGATGATGATCTATTTAGACAATGGAAATTCAAGAGCAAGAAACTAGAAAAGGAAGCTTGGGATTATCCCCTTTGACGTGTCGCTTTTATGTTGGGAGTTTTGTGGCTGTACTGTCAGAGAGAGTCATTGTCTAAGAATATTTGTTTGTATTATTATTATATCACATTTATATGTGGCTTCTTGCTTCCAGAATCTTTTAATGCTATCAAATTTTAGCTCAGCCTTTTTTTTTTTTTTTTGTTTGCCAGTAAATTTTAGCTCTACTTGAGAGCAATCACCAACACTAAATTTTGTACCAAAAGTCATGAACAAGATAATTTATTTATTAAATTTTATGTAATAAATTGATTGGTATTTAATTATTTTTATGTTAAACATGTTTTATGCATTAAATCTAAAAACACACACACAGTGTGAACATAACTTGAAAATAATACAAATTACTGTATATTTAATTTAATCATATATATTGATATTTAGATTCTTGGTTAAGTTCTGCTCGAAGAAATACAATGCTAACAATTTCAAAGGGTAAAAGAGTAATTTTGTCTGAAAACTATAGGATGGGATTTTTTTTTTTTGGCACAAAAAAGAAGCTCATTTTATTAATATCAGAGAAAGATTACACAGACTAATCCAAAAACAAAAAACAAAGAAAAGCAATAAACCTAGATACAACCTAGTGAAAAAAATAATAAACCTAGATACAACATAAAAAAAAAAAAAGCAACAAACCTTAAAAGTAAATATAGTCTTTTTGGAACACTGATTTTTTTGTGCAAATGTAGTCTTCAATATTTGAAAATGTCAACCAATACCCCTCTCGTTAATTATAGCTAGAGCTGTTAATTAGGGCCAGCCCGGCCCTAAAGAGCCGGCCTTTGAAGGGCCAGGGCCTAAACGGGCTGGCCCTAATAAGCTCGATTACATACCAGGATTCCATTTTTTAAGGCCTGGCCCTAGCCCTCAGGGCTAAAGGGCCGGCCCTTAGGGTCTCGGTCCTATTTTTTTAAAATTATTTTTTCAATTAAAAATTATAAAATATATATTTATAATCATAAAAAAAGTTATTATTCATAAAATTAAGTTTAAGAAAATAAATTTAAATCAATTTACACCACAACAATAAAGAAAACTAAAATATTTAGGTCTAATATCAAATAGTAACATCAAAGTGAATACCAATAAAAATTAAACTTAGCTAATATTATCAGCTAAATCTTAATAAATAAATGACGGATGAATGAATGCATTTAATATGTTCATTTCTTTGAATTATGTATTTAATCTTTTATTTTTTTATATTATAATTTTTTTAAAAAAATTATAAACGGGCCTAAAAGGGCCGGCCCTTTTATTTTCAGGCCTAAAAGGGCCCCTTTTAGGCCCGATTTACTTTTTTAAAGATAAAATAGAAGCTTGGTCCTTAATTTTTTCTGGCCTAAAAGGACCAGCCCTACGGGCTCGGTCCTAATTGATGGCTCTAATTATAGCAGTTTACAAGAAAGTAGACCATTCTGTTATATAAAAAATGTGGGCCCACAACACAAAAATAACAAACATTGCCTTACTATTAATGGAAGGACGCTTTGGCCCAAAAACAAAAAAAATGGAAGGACGCTTTGGCCCAAAAACAAAAAAAATGGAAGGACGCAAACGCATGTTGCAGAGGTTTTACATGTTAAGGGGCAAACTTGCACCCAAAAAAAAGTTAAAGATACAAGATCCTTCTCAGTTTAAAAGTAAAATTATCTTTTTTATTTAGTATTAAATATTATTTCAGTTTTTAATATAAGACAAAGTTAACAACTTTAAACTTATTAAAAAAAGTTAGTTATAATTTTGAAAATGTAAGGAAAAAAATTGTAACTTTCCTATTTTACCATTTTTTTGAATAAATAACAGAAATAAATTATTATTTAAGAATTCAAATCACAATAAGTAAATAAATAAATAAGGGATAAAATTAAAAAAATAATTATTTTAACTTCATCTTATATTTAAGATTAAAAAAATTTCAAATTTTATTTTATATTAAGAATCGGGAGGATGGAGTATATTTATTTCATCACGGAATTAAACTGTTTTTTTCAACAACTCAGGGGGAACTGTGAAAGCCACATTCAATCATTCATCAATATAGAATATTTTTAATAATCGACATGATGATACTAATCAACAACATACAATATTTTTTCAATTTTATCTCTTATTTATTTATTATAATTTGAATTCATCACGCAATGCTTAACTGTTCATCAAATTGACTTGCTAAAGAATTCTTTGTCATATGATATTGGCCGTGGCCTTTTTTATTTAGAGTTATTATAGGTAATTACCTACTTTAATAGTATTATACTACTTCTTTTTAAGCAAAACGAACGAATTTTATTAATCACCAATCAAAAAGATTAGACACAGTATTCCCAATAGTAAAGAACAAAAAGCCAATAAAACCTAGCATACAACCTAAAGGAATTAAAGGCATAAAAAACAATAAACCTAGAGAGAAAACAACAAACAAAACTCAGCTAATACCTTTTTTTCAGGAAGAATCGCATCCAACTTTCTTAAAAAGTTTAATTATAAATAAGGACTAACAATAAATCTTATTTAAAAAAATAAATTATATTCGTATTAATCCATTTTGCATTAATTTTCGTCTATGATTAATTTTTTTTAAATAATTGAATGTGATTTCCATGTTCTTGCCATTCAAGTCTTGCAACAAAGTAGTGAAAATAGAGGATGGTGGATGCCATCCTTGCAGAACCATGCCCCTCATAGCCACGTCAAAAATGTGCTCAAAGGAATACAATGCTAACAATTTTAAAGGGTAAATGAGTAATTTTGTCTAAAAACTATAGGACGGAAGTATTTGGAACACTATTTTTGTGTGCGAATTTACTCTTTAATATGTAAAAATGTCAACCTATACTCCTCTCGTTAATTGTAGCTTACAAGAAAGTAGACCATTCAGTCATATAAAAAAAAATGTGGGCTCACACCACAAAAATACAAACATTACCTCGTACTTAATGGAAGGAGGCATAGTGCAAAGTTTTTAGATGTTAAGGGGCAAATTCGCAACCAAGAAAATTTAACGTACAAGATGTTTCTTAATCTATGGTTGAAAAGTAAAATTATCCTTTTATCTTAATTAATACAAAATATTATTCTGTTTTTTTAATATAAGACGAAATTAAAAACTTCAAGCTTATTAACAAATTTTGGTTATAGTTTTAAAAATGTAAAAAAAAATTGTAACTTTCCAACTTTAGCATTGTTTATAATAAATGACAGTAATAAACTATTATTTAAGAATTTAAATGATAATAAATAAATGAGATAAAATTAAAAAATATTAATTATTTTAACTTGATCTCATATTTAAGATTAAAAAATTTAAAGTTTATTTTACATGAAAGATTAAGAGGGAGAATATTTAGTTCATCACGAAACTAAACTGTCTTTTTCAATAACTTAGAGGGGAACTGTGAAAGCGACATTCAATCATTTATCAATATACGATAATGCTTAACGATTCATCAAATTGACTTGCTAAGAATTCTTTGTCATATAACATTGGCCATGGCCAGGGGCGGACCCACGTTGTGGTTGTGACCCAACTTCCTGCCTCTTCCATGTATTTATGAGGGTGTTGTTTATTTACGCCTTGCCAAAAACATTACTTCTTTGTGAAATATGAAAAGCCAAATATACTTAGCATGCAATACACATACCCATGTAATGCATATTATGTGTATTTATTATTATATTATATTCATGTAGTATATTTTTAAGGAGATTTTTAATAAAGGCTCTTAAACCAAATTTATTTAAATTTAAAACTCTTAAATTTTTAAAATTTCAATATAATCTA